CTCCTCTCCTCTCCTCTCCTCTCCTCTCCTCTGCTCTGCTCTGCTCTGCTCTCCCCTCGGCAAGCCCCTCTGTTCTAAGCACAGCACAGAAGGGAGCTGGGCACTGTGGGCAGTGGGCAAAGCCATACTCACAAAGCGGCCTCCTTCTGCCCCCGGCCCAGTCCTGCATCTGCCGGAAGACGCTGCTCATCTGTGGCCAGGCAGGGCCGGAAGGAGAAGCTCCGCAGCCTTTGCTTTTATAGGCTTGGATGAGCAGGAATTCCCATCAGAGAAAGGCCAGAGGAGAGGAGGGTTCCCCAAAGGGTTTCAGGCTGCAACTCTGCCTGCGCCCACAGAAACACCGGCATGGCTGCCAAGCGGCTTCTTCATTACCGTTGGACTGAGCATTGGGCTGTAGCTGGTCCGGGGAAGAGAAGTAACTGTTATTGGAGGAGATGAGAGGTAGAAATCCTGATGACCGCTGTTTCTTTGATGGCGTGCGTGCGTTGCTGGGTAGGATTGGCCCGGGAGGTGTTTCCTTTCTCTCCTGCCATGGGTCGTCTGCCCAGCAGAAGGCGAATGGGGGGGCATTTGGGGTGCTGGCGTTTGGGGGCCTTCTCTCGGCTTCCAGGATTGGTGATGAATTTCCTCTGAGCCAGAGCAAGCGTGGTCACATTGGATATTCTCAGCAAAGACCTTAAAGATGGTAAAAAATGGCAACCCTCCTTCCCCTTGTGCCATTCGCCAGACTGCCTGAAGAAGTAGCAGTGGTAATAATAATAATAACTTCTTTTATCATTTTATTATGGTACTAATTAAGCAGAGGAGAGTATCAAATACATGTCATGGGATTGAGGAAACAATGCAACTTCCTTATGTGAAAAGAAGCAAAAGCCAAATCTGGAACAGCTTTTAATGTTTGAAACAAAAGGAAAGGATGTCTGGCAGAAATATATATTCAAACACAGATTCAGCAGTTATCATCTACCTGCCCCTCCCCTTTTTATCACGGAGGAATCACGGGCAACCCTCTCTGTGGTTGGTTTACATGACAGAAGCCCATTGGGGGTATGGAACTTTTTCTGAAGCAAAGTACTGATGAATCAGTGCAATGATGAGAGAAACAACATTTTGCAATTTTGGGACTCTGTCCGAAGCGCGTCTGTGGGGTGTGTGTTTGTGTGTGAGATCAGTCAAGGGAGCAGGCATGCTTGCACAAGTGAAGCCTTGCCCCTTTTTAAGTGTGCAGCATCATATGCTTGATGTATTTAAAAAGAGGAAGATTTCATGTATGGAGGCGTGACTGCCATCTTGGCTCTTTCGCCCCCCCCCCCCCCGATCTCCCTGCCTTTAGAGGTCATGACAGTTTAGACATCTCCAAGCAGGAGGAGGACTCCATAGATCCAAGGTCTCTTTGTGCCTCTGATATCCTGTGACTTCACATGTCCTCCTGGCCTGATCCCTCACATGAGAAGCCACAGACAATAGTCAGCAGAGCATGGTTTGTGGTGTGACCACAGTGCCTGGTATCGTAATGGGGGTCCCCTGCCAGAGTAAAATTAGCAGCTTTATTGCTCACTCTCAGGAAGTCAGGTCCCACAACCTCTTCCCCCCCTTCTGTCTCCACGTGTGAGCGACCTGCTCGAGGCTATTCTGGGACCGAAAGGAAGGTCTGAGAGATGAAGGACTTGCAGAATCTGGCATCACTGGAGAATCCGCCATGTCCATCAGTGGCTTGTCCTGAGATGATAAATGTGGCCAAAGGGATCTCTTGGGAGTTCTGTCCATGTGAGTAACTCTAGTTTACCCTCCTGTCAGCAACGGTTGATCACTGGGATGTCCAAGAGACCCCCAAAAGGAATGCACCCACATTCCAAGGACTGGCCCACTTCTGGCTTTCTAGAGCCCAGGGCACTCTAAGGTGGTTGTGCGACCCCTCTGTGAACTCGCCCTTAAGCACCCCCCCCCATTAGCCTTCTGGAGAGCCCGCAAGACCCAGCTCTTCCCCCAAGTGCTGGGGTAGGGAGAGGCCAGGGTGAGATGAGAATGTGGGTTGCATCAGGGAGGTGCAGCGGTGGCACCACGTTTTCTCCATCTTTTAGTGGCATCGTTTTTTGTGTTATGATCGTAGATGTCATTTCATTGGCTGTAAGCTGGCCAAAGTTGGTTTTCAGATGGGCAGCTATACTAATGCTATGCTAGAAAGAAAGAAAGAAAGAAAGAAAGAAAGAAAGAAAGAAAGAAAGAAAGAAAGAA